TCTTAGAAACAATAGCCAATCAGTTGTTTTAATTGTCATATTTGAATTCAGCACATCAAAATACATAATAAATAGCGCATTTTATCTCTGAAGCAGATGACTTCTCAAAAATTGTAGACCAGTGAAATCATAAAAACTTTTTGTATTGCAGGGTTTTCCCCTCTCCACCTTGTAATAAAGAGCAAAAATGGAGAGGGCTTGATAAAATTCTGGAAATTTGGAAACTTTAATGCACTACAGTTTTTGTTTTGGTTTTTTTTCCTATTTGTTTAGTTTAAATGAAAAACTTTTCAGGGAAGAGAATGTGTGGAGGTATGACTAAAAGCCTGATGGCACTTCTACCTTATAGAGCTTATGAGAAGACCTTTGTTTCTAGCACATCATTAGATCGAAGTATACTTCTGTCCTAAATAGTGACTATGTAAAAATGGAATCTTCTTCCTGAATAGATCTGCTCCCTGTCTGTATTCTGAATCCTGTCTACTGACTTTAGTGACATAAATAGATTGTTATATCTTTTTATTCCTGTTAAACTTTCAGAACCAACAAACAAAGAGTGATTGTTCTTTCCAGTGCCCAGTTAACATAATTGTCTCCTAAGTTTTGATTATAGAGGTTATCGATTACTTTATACTGGTGCAAATGCATTAAGAGCGATGGTTTTGCACACGTGTGATTCAAAGCATAATTTGAAGACTGTGGAGTTCTACAGATGTGTCCAAAGGTCTTAAGGGTACAGTTTAGTCAGGGGTATTTTTAGTAAAAGTCATGGACAGGTCACGGACCATAAAAATACATCTGACTGAGGGCTAGTCTACACTGGCAATGCTAAAGCTTTAACGTGCCTTGTATGGTCGCTCTAAAAAAAACACCTCCACGAGGGGCGTAGCTCCCAGCGCTGGGGCACTGTCTACACTGGCGCTTTACAGAGTTGCAACTTGCTGCACTCGGGTGTTTTTTTCACACTCCTGAGTGAGAAAGTTGCAGCGCTGTTAATTGCCAGTGTAGACAAGCCCTAAATCTGAACTGGGGAGCCGCTGCACTGGGGTGAGCCCCAGGAGGCCATTGCTTTTTCTCTTAATCTTCCAACCGTCCTTATCTGCCTCCTCTCAGCCTTTCAGCTCAGTCCAGCTGTGAATAATGGAGAAAATGTATAGATTTGTAAATATACACAAAATATATATTTAATAATAAGCTGTGAGTGATAAGGATTACAGGGGTGAGTGCCAGAGGGACTCTGGGTGTGTTTGAACTAGCTTTGATGGGAAGGAAAGAATGCAGACTGATTTTTAAATCTCAAGCTGGATTTGCAAGTAAAATAAACACACAGCTATATTTTATAAACTGAGTACACTTGAAATGACAGTTGAGAGACAATGCACTTTGATTCCCTCAATGTCATTTTTAGAGTCACTTTTCAAAGTAGAACTGTGCTATAATGACTGAGGTAGCTGAAGAAAGATGGAGTAAATGAGACAAATTGATTACAAGTGTATCTTTGATGTAACTTTTATAATAGCAATATTAATATCCATTGTAACTCACAATTTGTAGAGCCTCAATATTCTCCACGATTCTAATCTCAGTTACATTTGGAGTATGTACAAAGAAGTTGGTGTGGGCTCAGTGTACTCTGGATTTATGCTAGTGTAACGAGATCAGAATCTGGCCGGTCATGTACATCTACCCCTTCTCTCTCTGTACTGTTTTTGTGCTTTCAACGATTCTGCTTGCCTGTATGTTGCAAATTAACTACCCTTAAACAAAAAATAGACCCTATGTTGCCATTGCTTGCAAAGCAAGGTACACAAAGAGCCAGATTTGTTCTGATACTCTAGATTTACTGAACAAATATTTTATATGCTACTGTAAAAGTTTTGTTAGAAAATAAACTGCTTGCTTGAACTCTTTTCCCCAAAGAAACTTCTCCTATATAAGCATAACATCTGCTATAAATTGTTATGAGTAATATCTTCTAAAACCACTTCCATAGAAACAAGAATTCTTATTTCCATTTATGATAATATTTCACAATCAAAGAAGCTGCAAAAGAAATAGGAATGAGATCTTCTGGTTGCAAACTATGTAATCCTGTTGTCTACGTTCGCTTCTTAAAACATCACTTGCCTGTTATACATGTAATATACTATATTGTATGTGTATCAACAGGACCTTTAGATTAGGGGGGTTTTCTATTTTTTTAATATTGGATCTGTGGTCAACTGAAAGGTTATCAGAGTCAGGCTGTCACACAGAAGAAGAAGAATACTGAAACAGGAACCTACTGGCTTCTTTAACCTTTTGCTGTAAGGAAATGTGCCTTTCTCCATTTGATTTTGAAAAAGGAAATAGATTGTGGTGGTGTGGCTGTGGAACTTTCTCTTTCTGCCTCTATCATTGCAAATGTGTTAGTTAAAGAAATGAAAAGAAAAAGTCTACTATTAAACAGTAGAATTGAACAGTAGAATATCTTAGCTCTGTCAAGATAACACAGTGAAAGTGATTGATTGCCCTTTTTGTTTTGTTTTAGGTGTCAGAAACTATTTGAAAGAAGCATTAGTGAATATCATCGCTGTGCACGCAGAGGTGAGGTAACTTTAGATTATTCACATTATTACAAGCGTCAAACAAAATAAGTTGGCTGACTTCATTGGAAATGAGCACTCTGAAAATCAGGCCACTTTTATTTACGTGTTTAAATACAAATTTTATTAAAGATGTGGGCGTGGTTAAAAATTGTATAAACTTCCATCAGTAACACCATATATCAAATTTTAGGGCTTGTTTACTTGAAAGAGAATCCAGAATAAAGTAGCGTGTGCATTTAAAGTGGATTAACTGATTAATTCTAGATGTAGACACTCTTATTCCGGAATAAGAGTGCCTTATCTGAATTAGTATGGATTAAATTTGGTTTACCTATGTGAACAGTTAGTACGCAGCAAGCTGGGAAGTAAGTCTACTTTGTGCTATCCTGCTGCTATCCTAACTGTCTGTGTGGATCCTGCTGTCATGCCCAAAAAGTTCCCTAGTGCACTTTAATCTACTCCTGTTTCAAAACAGGGTAGGTCAAAGCAAACTAAGGGTATGTCTACACTACGAAATTAGGTCGATTTAATATAAGTCGGTTTTTTAGAAATCGATTTGATACAGTCGATTGTGTGTGTCCCCACTAAGTGCATTAAATCGGTGGTGTGCGTCCACAGTACCGAGGCTAGCGTCGACTTTCGGAGCGTTGCACTGTGGTAGCTATCCCACAGTTCCCGCAGTCTCCACCGCCCATTGGAATTCTGGGTTGAGCTTCCAATGCCTGATGGGGCAAAAACATTGTCGCAGGTGGTCCTGGGTACATGTTGTCAGGCCCCTCCCTTCCTCCCTCTGTGAAAGCAACGGCAAAAAATTGTTTCTCGCCTTTTTTCCTGGGTTGACCCATGCAGACGACGTACCATTGCAAGCATTGAGCCCACTCAGCTCACTGTCACCATATGTCTCCTGGGTGCTGCTGGCAGACGCGGTATTGCAGTGCTACACAGCAACATTGCCTTGCCTTGCCTTGAGGACAGCAGACGGTAGAATATGACTGCTAGCCGTCATCGTCGTCCCTCAGTTAGGTTGATCGGGGGCGCCTCGGCAGACATGGGTGCTCCTGGCCGGCCTCAGTGAGGTCGGTCGAGGGTGCCTGGACAAAAATGGGAATGACTCCAGGTCATTTTCTTCTTTAAGTTTTGTCTAATGGCGATTCAGTCCTGCCTGGAAAATCATGCCAGCTGGAGGATTCTGCCTCAGGCTGCTCTCCCAGTCGGCAGCACCGCACGGTCGCATCTACCCCAGCCTACCCCTTGCTCCCATGGCTCATGAAGCCTGGACAGTAGAAAGGAGCAGTCCAACTATAGGCTGAGCAAGTGCGTAATAGTGGTAGAATGTGCCTTTGGATGTTTAAAAGTGCGCTGGCACAGTTTATGGACTCAGACCTCAGCGAAACCAGTATTCCCATCGTTATTACTGCATGCTGTGTGCTCCACAATATCTGTGAGAATAAGGGGGAGACATTTATGGCGGGGTGGGAGGTTGAGGCAAATCGCCTGGCCACTGATTACGCGCAGCCATACACCAGGGCAGTTAGAAGAGCACAACAGGGTGCACTGTACATCAGAGAAGCTTTGAAAACCAGTTTCATGACTGGCCAGGCTACAGTGTGAAAGTTCTATTTGTTTCTCCTTGATGAAAATGTGCCCCCTTGGTTCACTCTACTTCCCTGTAAGCCATCTGCCTTCCCCTCCCCCTTTTGATCTTCGCTTGCAGAGGCAATAAAGTCATCGTTGTTTCAAATTCATGCATTCTTTATTAATTCATCACACAAATGAGGGGATAACTGCCAAGGTAGCCCAGGAGGAGTGGGAGAGGAGGGAAGTACAGGGGTGGAGTAGTTGTACCGGCACCTCCTAGAAGCTCTTCTAACTGCCCTGGTGTATGGTATGCAGCTCATCATAGAAGCGGCATGTCTGGGGCTCGGACCCGGAGCGGCCATTTGCCTCTCTGGTTCTTTGGTAGGCTTCTCGCAACACTGCGGCAGGTCCTTGTTATAACCTCTGTCCTTCATGCCTTTGGAGGTTTTTTCAAATATTCTGGCATTTCATCTTTTGGAACGGAGTTTGGATAGCACGGATTCGTCTCCCCATACAGCGATCAGATCCAGTACCTCCCGTTTGGTCCATGCTGGAGCTCTTTTGTCGATTCTGGGACTCCATGGTCACCTGTGCTGATCAGCTCGCTACGCTGGCCAAACAGGAAATGAAATTCAAAAGTTTGCGGGGCTTTTCCTGTCTACCTGGCCAGTGCATCTGAGTTGAGAGTGCTGTCCAGAGCAGTCACAATGGAGCACTCTGGGATAGCTCCTGGAGGCCAATACCATTGAATTGCGTCCACACTACCCCAAATTCAACCCAGCAGGGTCGATTTCAGCGCTAATCCCCTCGTCGGAGAGGAGTACAGAAATCGATTTTAAGAGCCCTTTAAGTCGACAAAAATGGCTTCGTCGTGTGGACGGGTGCAGGGTTAAATCGATCTAACACTACTAAATTCGACCTAAACTCGTAGTGTAGATCAGGGCTAAGAGTAAATAAGAGTGCCTTATTCCAAATTAGTATGGTTTAAACTAATTTAAAATAAGGTACTCTTGTTCTGGAATAAGTATCCACATGTGGAGTTAATCAGGGGTAGCTGTTTTGGAATAACTCCCTGTGGAGACAAATCCTTGGTGTGTGCTTTTTATTTTCTTTCAACAATCTGAAAAAGAGGAAAGTCAAAGTATAAAACTCAATTCTTCTCTTTCCGTGCATGTTTTAAAAAAATACAGTGCTTTTTGTATGAACTGAGTTAGTTTGTGCTTCAAGAGATGGGAGTGTGGGGGAAGTGTTGAACATGTGCTGCTTGAGCGGGAAAACATACATCATGTTGCATGGAAATTCATCAAGCACAAATAGAAAATCTGGAGTGGATGCATGGTATATATTTGCCTGCATGACCCCATTTTGCGACTTTCTGTTTCCTGTAACCCAGACAACAACAAAGCAACGTAACAACCAAGGAATCCAAGGAATTTTAGTTAGTGCTCTCTGATGTGAGCACATGGACTTGTGTGTTGCAACACAGCTTCTCTAAATCCGGCCGTGTAGTAGAAATTGCATATCTAATCTAATTGTGACATTAGGGGCAGATCGATTCTGAGACTTGATGGACACAAATGTGCTGAATCCAGCTTCATACAAATATGTGCTCATGAGTGGCACCATCAGTTTCAATGCATGTGTTGAGAGTGCAGGATATTCATTCTTGACAGTGAACCCAGAACTCTGGGAGAGAAAATTGGGCATATGTTACTCCCAAGAATCAATCACAGGAAATTTCGATGAGCTGTTCAATTTCAGCTGCTGGCAAATCCATGGCATGAGGCTTGCAAACAGGTTTCACTCCCAGTCATACTTTGTAAATACAAGGTCAGGGGAAAAGGATGCAAACCATTACTCCATCTGGCTGAGATGCTCAGTCATCCTGTGTCTGGGAGGCCAAATAATTTCATTATCAGCCAATAACTTACAGCACAGAGACAGCAATTTACAATGATTCTTTATCGAGTACTAACAGGATACTTATGGTGGCATAAAAGAAGATATGGGCCCTGCCTTAAGGAGCTTACAAGCCACTGCAGATTCCCATCTCAGAAAAAGCTAGCACAGACTCCTACTGGCTCAAGCAGAGAGGATGCTCTTATGGTAAAACTGCTGCCCATAGATAAGTATCTTCTGGATTCAAATCTCCCTCCCCTGGATGCTGGCACAGCTAGATGGTGCAAATGGTTAAATGGCATCCATATAACCACCTCCGTACAGCCAACGTGTCTGGACCTGCTCCACAAATACTGTCCCAGGAAGCTGCTGTTTTACAAAATGATGATCTCTGCATAGAGTGACCTCACACACACCATAGGTGTAATGTCGCACTTTGTGGAGGTCACCATTTTGTAGATCAAAATAGCAGTCTCCTGGTGTGGCACCTGTGGAGCAAGTCCGGACGTGTTTGGGGGCAGACAGCATCAGATTGCGAGCCGAATCTGACCGGTTGGACCCACAACCCCCTCTGCTGAGGGCACTACCCCAGTTTGGGAACCGCGGATATGTAACATCTGGACTCCCAAAATGGGCCATGGCTTGCAACAGAGAGGAGGAGTGTATGTTAAAAAAGTAAGCGTGAAATACTGATGAAAATTGAAATAATTATTTGCAGAGCTGCATACTTCCAGATGCATACCTAAGTGTAAATAGACTATTGCAGGAATTTTCTACAGTACTTAAGCTATAGCACCTGTTCTAAATAATCCCATCCCTCACCATCACAAAATGTATTTTCTCATTAATATTACCAAAACCATTCTTTCACATAGCACAAATAACACTGTTCAGTCTTTAGACCCTCTTTACTTGCTTAAAATTGGCTTTTGAGTATTTTAGACTCCTTTTAATATTTTCTTTAATTAGAGAGACTAATGCTAATTGAAATATTTTCATGGGTTTTGGAATTCCAATTAAAACAGATTTTTGTTTTGATGCAGGTATTTACCTTCAGTGTATGTAGCACAAATAGTGCAGCATTGTGCCAGTACTTGAGAATGAAGGAGTTAACATAACTATAAACCACAGTGAAAATGATTAGTCTGTTTTCATTTTCCAGGATGAGTAAATTACGTGAAAGGAACAAACAAAATAAGTTAGATTTTAAATTCAGTTAAAATAATCTAAATTGTTTTTAATAAACACAAGTAAGGACATTTTTAAAATGATTTTTAACTTGGCTGTGTCCTTTTAAGTAGGTATAATTATTAAAGTCCTGATTCAGCCAGGGAGTTAAGCATATGACTACCTTAAAAAAGTTTGTTGTCTCATTAACTTCAATTGGACTACTCGTGCTTAAAATTAGGGCACATGCATAAATACCCTATTGAATTGGGTGCTAGTTGATTTTCCCGTGTTAAGCTTTGCCTCATGAATTTCTATGTGTGAAATGACATTTTCACAAGTACTTGCAGAAGTATGTGAATTTGATCACTGGTGTGAAATTTTACAATTTCCACAAGAGTAACACTGTTTTCTGCTGAAATTTTGCCAATCTGGCTCAGTCTTAGATTTTGCTAGCAACACTGCTGATTTTTGTAGTTTAAACAACAATAGTTAACCATCAACTGTGCAATAGGCAGGTTCTGAGGTGAAAAAAATTGTTCCTTTTAACTAAAAAGTCAAATTTGAACTGAAACCAAAATAAGTATAGTTTTTGCAAAAATGTGGTGATTTACTATGGCTGAGAATTTTTTTCCTGAGTTCTAACAAGTAATGTTGAGAATGGCCATTGTGGGTACAAATACTTTCCTCTTAGTAGAAGGCTTTGACCGTTTTCTTGGTATGCTTGTGTTGTATTGCTCAGCAACACCTGCATGAAATGGCTTTTTCCCATATTGCTTTTACCATTTTTCTCTGTATGTGACCAAAATTGTTGGCTTTTGTGGGTCAAAGCAGTTAAAAGCAAGATGATTATTTGAACTCGTAGGTGAGTGACTGATAGCCAGCATATGTGTGGTCAGCGTGCCTTGGCTGTAGAGCAAATCTGTTATGTTACAGTTTGTTTAGTCTGTGAAATCCATGACACATCACTCTCACATATATCGTGAAAAATCGGGTATGGTTCCTAAATTCATATTTGAGTTTTACTCATCCGCATACTGGTGTTTCTCTAAATATTTTCCACTGATTATGCATTTCTATAAAGCAGTTTTTCATTGTCAAATCAGACACGCTCCTAACTTTCACATAAAGCAAAGGTCCTATAGTAAAAGTGTGACCCAATCATTTGTTGTTGATTGCTTGTTTGTTATTTAAGAAATCTGAATAAATGAATAATGAAATTTCTAGCCAAAATCATCATCTTTCCACATGACTCTGATCACATCACTTCCTCCTCAAATCACCATCCCTTTTTCTTTCCCCTCTTTTCCACATGTAATCCACACTGTCCTCATTTTCATCGTCAAGGCTTAACACAACTCAATCTCATTTCCTCTTACCCACCTCTTGCTCCGTGTTCTGCCCAATTTTCTCTCCTAATTATCTGAGACATTATCCCTCTTCCAGTGCACTAACAGTCTCTTACTGTCTTTAAATCTCTCCTAAAAACTGACTTTTTTGCCAAGCTTCAGAACTCTGACACTGTTTGATCTCATTTTGGCACCTATCTTTTTGTTTTATTACTCTATCATTTTGTATTATTATTAAATTGAATTATGGCAGCAACTATGGACCCTAATTGGGAATCCAGGCACTGTTGATCTCAGTGTTATACAAGCAAGTAATAAAAAAGACAGTCCAAGAGAGTTTTCATTCTAGGTTTATGGGGAAGAAGTGGGAAGAAGATAAGGTGCTTCTGGGAAAAGCAACGAAACATGCAATCAAGGTTAACTCTTTGCATGTCCATACTATGGTGCAATATAAATATTAATACAGATACCCAATTCATAGCTCTGATTTAAAACCTGCAGGTATTCACCATCTCTAAGGAATTAGTGCCTCGAGTACTGTCAAGGATTGTGGAATCTGTTGCTGAAGAACTAAGTCGACTGATGCAGTGTGTGTCATCGTTCAGTAAAAATGGAGCTTTACAGGTAGATAAAGACTCTGAGTTTCTATTTCTGAGTTGAGAAAATTGGAAATACTGTAGCTAGAAAGTGAGAGAGAGATTCCCCATTGTTATTGGACTGTAGCATAATAGCCTGTTTGTACTCAAATGCAACAAACAGCTGTTGTAGAAGTTATATTTTTACCCATTATTTTACAGCAGCTGATTAAATATTTTGATTGTGTTCTTATTTTTGTCCGCAAATATTTTGGTTTTAATAATGTTTTTAATTGTATTTTATAGCTTGTTTTTAAATCTGTTGGTATTAGTGTGGAAAGATCAGTGTAGTGATGTGTCATAGTTGTATATTATTCCACTGTTTGGAGAGAGAATAAAAACATTTCCTGTATCGTACGACTCCAGAGGAAGGCATAGCTGCAAAATATCTGCAAATGACATCACTATGGAAACACGTGCAAAAATTACCATTAAAAGAAGGTCTTAAAGATCCATTTATCAAAAGTCTTGCCATTCCCATTTCAGATTAGATGAACCAGTACTAACAACAATGAGCAAATGAACTGTGACCAGAGTATTTTAAATAAACAGAGGTGGGTGGGAATGTGTGCTGGCCCATTCAGAGAATCATAGAATATCAGGGTTGGAAGGGACCTCAGGAGGTCATTTAGTCCAACCCCCTGCTCAAAGCAGGACCAATCCCCGGACAGATTTTTGCCCCAAATCCCTAAATGGCCCCTTCAAGGATTGAATTCACAACCCTGGGTTTGGCAGGCCAATGCTCAAACCACTGAGCTATCCCCCCCTTGTTTCTAACAATTTATTTTGAGTGCTTTTCTTGTGAAATTAAGATTCTCAATGAGGTTCAAGGAAGGGTAAGTTCTTAGGATTTTGTAAATAACTATAACCCTGGTGCATCATTAGCAAAATATTTATAGAATACATGGTTTAATCACATTCTTCATAGAATCAGATCCAATAGTTCTTACTCAGACAAAACTCTTAAGTCAATGCTTTTGAATCTTTTGACTGAGGAATACCTATCAGCTATATATGGTCTGTGAGTTGTTTGTAGTCCAGTCAATTGTACATCTTAAAATATCTTCATATTCGGGTTTTACTTCTATTCTTCCATGTCTTGTATTTAAAAAGCATGTTTAGCTTTTAAAACCCATTCTTAATAATGCAGATAAAAGGAATAGAAATCTGCAGCCAACACCCATCTTACTGTTCTTTCAGATTTATTTTAGAATTCTAAAGCAACTGAAAATCTAAACGAAAATGGGTTTATTTTTAAAAATATATTACACTCTTAGTAATGAAGATACAATGTAGAGTATTATCAACTTAACGTTTAAAGAGGAGGTCCATAGACTAGTTATGCTTTTTAGTTAGCAATTAAACTTAATTGGAGCAGAAGACTCCATAGCCTAGTGAAATTACAAGGGTGGAATTAACTAGTGTATATTTAAAATGTAATTACACGTAAATGTATTAAATACAAATGTGACAAGGAGAGAAGGAAAATATTTGAGACCGAAATATGATATGATGTAATCCACAGTGGTCTGATACAAAGGAGCTTTGTGTTCCATATTGGCATACATGAGCATTCTGGTAGTTTACCTACCATTAATTGTGCATATTTTCCCAAAGGGATTTTGAAGGGATGAGGCGTTTACTCACAATAGTTGTATAATGTTATTAAATGCAAAGTCTCAGGACTACAGTCAAATATTTGGTTTTTGTTTTTAAATCAAGCTTATGATTTTTTTAAACAAATGACCTATACTGTGTGGCAGGGTCTTTCAGATTGTGGCAGTGCCTGATTTGAACTCATACCATGGAAGTGGTGGCACTTTACCAATCCATGGGTAAAACAGATATTTTAACACTGCCCTGCTCACTTCTGATTGCTCCATTAGTTTGAACTAGTTCTAGAGAAGTCTAAAGAAAAAAGAAAACTCCCTTTGACTCAACAGGCACTTTCTCTGACACACAGCCTCTCTAGGACTTGCAGGAACTACCAGCTGCCATTTCATATTCTCTCCAGCAGTCTTGGCATTTGGTTTGGGGAAATGTAAATATTAAATCCCACCATATTATAAACCTTATGTACAGTTTCGATTTTAAATATACTTGTAATACTTTCCAAGTATTATTAGTAGAATAGCATTTGAAGGAGAATTCATGTGGGAAGGACTTCTTGTCACAGCCGGGTAAAGTTGGTAAATAAAGGCTCTACACAATTAATTTTTGAGTTGAGTAAGTAGCCCACCTTTTGTTGAACTCACTCCCTGAACCCATAACTGAAAGAATTCTCTCTCCCAGCAGAAAAATTTGTCAGTTGTGGTCCCTTTCTATCATTCTGGCCATAATCAACCCTCACTATTGATAGACTGATTGTACCAAAACCAGTAGGATATGGACCAGACCAAACTGCTCAATAATACCCATTCCCTGTGGAAAAAACTGAGCTTTGACAAGAGATGCTTCAATCTGTATTTAACAGCCATTCCCCTGATCCAGCCACCCCCGAAGTACCTTAGTTCGAACTTACCGCGGGTACAGACGCGGCAGGCGAGCGC